GTGAAGTCAGTTTATTGAACAGTATATTTTTTACATAAAGTTAGTTGTATATTGCACAAGTTGTATTTAGTTCAACTCTTTCAAGTAAAGCCAAGATGTTACTGCAGCAATTCCTTTTCCATTAGGAATTTCTAGTCATATTAAAATGTTCCTTTTCGGAGTTACCGTCGTTTTGTATTTTGCAAAAATACTCAGTGGTTCCCGCAATTGTTGTGACACTTTTCTCTATCTATTTCAAGTTCGTACGTGAGATAGTTGTCAGTACGTATTGAGTTCGTACGTGAGAAAGTTGTCGGTTGTCCAAATGTTTCCCTCCCCCCGCCCCACTCCCACCCCGCCCACACACCCCATATAAATTACGTATTGGCAACACATTTTTAAATATAGTATATACAGTCAGTGAATAAAAAGAGTTAGTTTATGCCTATTTATAGTGTGTTACATAAAAAAAGAAACCTTTCATGTCGGCTTTTCCTATAGCTTTGCATGACTAACAATAACCGTATATTATAGTATTATAGGTATAGTAGAAGTATAATTATAGTGATTAGTGTAACATAACAAGGGCTTCGTTCTGGTGAAAGGAGGTCAAGCAAGCATTTGTTTCTTGCAATATAACACTGTGTTTCTTTTGGCCCCCAGTTTGTTCTTGTCCATACTGCAAAAAACCAAACGTTTGCCTAATAACACTTGCCTATTAACCGCTCCCCCCAGAAGGCATATACAAGTATCCTGCGCAGAAAGACGGTTATACTAATTCACACAATGATTTAATTTTCCAAAACTGACAATAGTTACAAATAATGTCCCTGTTGTAGTAAGATGTGGGGCCTGTTGTATAAAAACGTAGTTAGCGCTAACTGCAGTCCAGCGTTAACTACCGTAATTAAATCCTTAAAGTGCCTATGACACGAAATTTCACCCCAAATGTTTATGATTGCATTGTAAAGATCACTTAAACGTGAGATAGTTGTCAGTACGTATTGAGTTCGTACGTGAGAAAGTTGTCGGTTGTCCAAATGTTTCCCTCCCCCCGCCCCACTCCCACCCCGCCCACACACCCCATATAAATTACGTATTGGCAACACATTTTTAAATATAGTATATACAGTCAGTGAATAAAAAGAGTTAGTTTATGCCTATTTATAGTGTGTTACATAAAAAAAGAAACCTTTCATGTCGGCTTTTCCTATAGCTTTGCATGACTAACAATAACCGTATATTATAGTATTATAGGTATAGTAGAAGTATAATTATAGTGATTAGTGTAACATAACAAGGGCTTCGTTCTGGTGAAAGGAGGTCAAGCAAGCATTTGTTTCTTGCAATATAACACTGTGTTTCTTTTGGCCCCCAGTTTGTTCTTGTCCATACTGCAAAAAACCAAACGTTTGCCTAATAACACTTGCCTATTAACCGCTCCCCCCAGAAGGCATATACAAGTATCCTGCGCAGAAAGACGGTTATACTAATTCACACAATGATTTAATTTTCCAAAACTGACAATAGTTACAAATAATGTCCCTGTTGTAGTAAGATGTGGGGCCTGTTGTATAAAAACGTAGTTAGCGCTAACTGCAGTTAGCGTTAACTACCGTAATTAAATCCTTAAAGTGCCTATGACACGAAATTTCACCCCAAATGTTTATGATTGCGTTCGTAAATCGCCCGCACACGAGAGCTATCTCCTTACGCCAACATGACATTTTGCTAAGCTAGCTCTAGTGTGCGCCGGCGCTTTGTTTCATATGCAAATATCACCGGTGTGACATCACATCGCATAATGACATTTTGCAAACGCAATATTTTACCTTGATAATATCTTTTTTACAAACAAATACAGAGGGTTAATTACCAGTTATGAAATTACTACATACACAAGGGCAATTTTGAAGTTTTTTTAGATTCGTATTCGTCAAGAAAACTACACTTTTCTGAAAACTCATTATGTGATGTGATGTTACACCGGTGATATTTGCATATGAAACAAAGTTGAATATCTTGCAAAGGGAGCAAGTTACCAAAATTCTATAAAAGAAATTAGGCTATTAATTCATTTTAAGTGATCTTTACAATGCAACCATAAACCTTTGGGGTGAAATTACGTGCCATAGGCAATTTAACTGTAGTTAGTTAACTACATGAGTTAACTGCGTTGCACAAAACGTAGTTAACTGTGTGTGGGGCTTGCGTGGGGCGTTTGAACACAAAATTACATAAAGTAAGCAGCGATTAACGACCGCTTACACGGATTTTTAACATGATTGTGGATTCGTATTTTGCAAATAGGCGGGAATTTTATTCAAAACACTAACATAACATAACATAACATAACATAACATAACATAACATAGAACTAGATTCTGTTCCGAAATATCACATACTCGAACCGACCAGACCGCGTAGCTCAGTTGGCAGAGCATTGGGCTAGTATTCCAAAGGTCGTAGGTTCGATTCCAACCGTGGTCAGGCATATTTTTCAAGCTTGCCCGGTGTGGATATACACTCAGCGTAACATCACAAGCATCATAGTACTATAGTTCTTACAATTTTAGTAATAAATATAATATTTACATATATACATATTAATTAGTTAAATGTTGTTTCAAATGGTTTTTGAAAGGTGTTCAAACGGTTTCTTTAATATTTAAGTGTTGTTTCAAACGGTTTTTAAACACACTAATGCTATCGGATTCTACGATCCTACTTGGTAAATTGTTCCAAAGTCGTATAATTCTAACAAAGAAAGAGTACTTATATGAATTTACCTTAGCCATTTTTACATAAAGTTTATATCTATGATTGGCCCTAGTGCGTGATGACTTCGACTTTTCAAACAGATCACCGAAATTCAAATTATCAGTGATACCAAACACTATAACATTCAATTAGGCTAAGATAATCCCGACGTGCGGAAAGATCCGGCCAGCCCAACTTCTTGCATCTTTCCTCGTATGACATTTGCCCTCGTCTTTGATTTAAGGCAAGTCTTGAAGCTCGTCTTTGAACTTTTTTCCAGAGCATGAATGTTCTTTGTAAGGTGAGGACACCATACTGGAACAGCATACTCGATAATAGGTCTAACTAGCGATTTATACAATGTAGAGAAAACTTGCCGGTTTGATGTGCCAACAGTAGCTCTTTTAATAATTCCTAACACTTTATTCGCTTTGTTAACAGTTATTATATAACAGTTGTTACAAGACAAATCACTTGATACATTTACTCCCAAATGTTTAACACTATGTACCACTTTTAATGGCATGTCTTCAAGATGGTAATTTGGAACTGACTTATCTCTAGAATGTGTGATTCTCATCACTTCGCATTTACTGACGTTAAAATGCATTTGCCATTTGTTAGCCCACTCACTGACTGAATTTAGATCTGATTGTAAGAACACTGTATCGATAGTTGGATCTTTTATTTCCCTGTAAATTTTTGTATCATCAGCAAATAGTTTAATCTTTAATTTCACATCGTTACTAACATATCGTTAATGTACAACAGGAATAATATAGTCCCAATAATTGTTTTATTAATTTTACTGGCTGGTGATGTGGCGACAAACCCTGCTCCTTGTTCTTCTTCAACTATCAATCGAACAGTAAAATGTCTTTCTCTAAATGCAAGAAGTTTAACAAGCTTACATAGAACAAACAACAGTGAAGGTAAACGCAGTAACATGGAACTCTTCCAGAATTTGGTCTACTCCGAGGACAGTGATACTATTTTTGTGAATGAAACTTGGCTAAAGAAAGACATCTGTGATCTTGAAATTCTGCACTCAAGTTATTCTATTTTTAGGAATGATCGAAAAACTCGCGGTGGTGGAGTACTGTTAGGGGTAAAAACATCTTCCTTTAAATCTGTGCATGAAATTAAACACAATTATGACCTAAAAATCATCTTGGCTGAAATAACAACAACCACAAACATGAAAATAATACTGGGTTCCTGCTAACGTCCTCCAAATGAAGATCAGACTTGGATAGAACGTTTCAACAACTTTCTCGGTAATATTTGTTCAAGTCACCAACACATTGTTCTCGCCGGGAATTTTAATTTTAATTCCGCAAATTTCATGGAACTCGCCAGAACAAACGACAAGTTTCTCTGAGAATGCTTTTATTGAACTATTTAATGACTATTTTATGGTTCAACTAAACAACACCGCAACTAGACAAAATAACGTACTCGATCTCGTTATCACAAACATTCCAAAACTAGTTAAAATTAGCGAATTTTGTCCCCTGCTGAAGCAGATATCTTTACTGAAAACAGTATAATCAGTTTTGACCTCTTTGTTCACCCCAAACGCTTGCCAAAAATTAACAGGACGGTGTATGCTTATCGGCGAGGAGATTTTACAGCTCTTAGATCTGCTCTCGAGTCCTTAAACCTCTCTGGGTTAATTTCCAGCGATGGTGATATTAACGAAGATTGGCGTAATTGGAAAGATACTTTCTTAGCGATGGTATCGGATCATATTCCATCTACAAAATTACGAAGTCGTTATTACGTCCCGTGGATGAACAGTGCTATAATGCATAATTAAAAAAAAAACTCTGTACGGCGGACGTTAAGGAAATCTCCTACATCTACTAAGTTACCTGAAAGAAAAATTCAAACATCTCAGAACTGCCATTAAAAAAATGCTGCGTGAAAGTCGTTCAAAGTACATCAAATCTATTTGTGATGATCACGGAAATAACCCAAAGCGTTTCTGGTCGCTCTTCAAACTAAAAACCAAATCTTGCAATGTTCCCGAGAAAGTCTCAATGGGGGTTGAAGGAAATTCAAGGAAATACTCAGAAACACCAGCGGACATAGCAACTCTCTTTAATAATTATTTTACATCCATCTTCACCAATGATCCAGATACTTCCATAGACCCGTCTACGATCGATGAGAACATTTCCCTGTTGGAGGATGTTGTTTTAACACCTGACGACGTAGCTAACGTACTAAGAACTCTTGATAATGATAATCTCAAATAGTTCCGTCTCTATGTCAATTGTTTAACAAATCGTTGCGTATCGGCGTGGTACCATTTGATTGGAAAGTCACTAATGTTGTTCCTGCTTATAAAAAAGGAGACCAGGAATTTGTGAAAAATTATAGACCTATATATCTGCTCTCTCTGGTTTCGAAAGTTCTGGAACGCTATGTCTTCAATACGATTAAAGATCATATTTTCTGCCGAATAAATCCTTGTCAACATGGTTTCCATCCTGGGAAAAACTGTGTGACCCAACTTATCGAAGTTTTTGACAGGATAGGAAAACAACTAGATCGTGGCAAACAGATAGATGCAATTTATTTAGATATGTCAAAGGCTTTTGACAAAGTTAGCCATAAACGACTTCTTCTTCGTCTCCGTGAATTTGGTTTTGGAGGTAACATTCTCAACTGGTTCCGCTCCTACCTACAAGATCGTCGTCAACAAACAACCATCCTCGGTGTAACATCTTTACCTAGTCAAGTAACATCAGAGGTACCTCGCGGCTCTATTCTGGGACCGGTGTTATTTTTGTTATATGAAAATGATCTCCCTTTCCTGTGAAGAATTCATCCATTGGAACATACGCTGATGACACCAAAATCTTCAAAGAAATCCATAATCTCGGTGATGCTGCATCGTTACAGGAGGACCCGAGTAATTTTGAATCAAGTTCTTCAGATGTGGGTCTTCACTTAAACTCTTCACCAGAAAACATCGCCAGATCAAGTATATCCATACACTTTACAAGATAGCATGTTAGAAAACGTTGAAAATGAGCGTGATCTCGGCGTGTGGATATAAAAAAATTTGACCTGGCGCAAACAGGTATTGGAACAATGCTCAAAAGCAAATAAAATGTTGGGTGTAAATCAAAAGATCAACAAGAACAACCAAGAACTGTAAAGCCCGTCAGACGGTATATATAACAATTGTTCGATCGCAAATGGGATATGCTACACAAGTTTGGTCTCCGCAAACCATCGACCTCATCGCTCGTTTAGAACGCGTACAAAGACGTGTTTCCAAATAAATTTTAGATCTACCTTTCCTTTGTGAAAGCAGCTACACCCAAAGGCTTATTGACTTGGTCTTTCTACCTCTAAGTTATTGGCATGAATATCTAGACATGTTATTTTTCTACCTAGGCAAATTGCTGTATCATGCGCCTCTCGGATGCAGTTGTTCCCAAACCTAATGAAAACTCACGAATTACAAGATCAGTGGATCCAAACTCCATAAACTTCAAAGTTAGGATCGTGTTTGTTTCCTCGGTCATAATGGAAAACAATTTGCCTGAAATGTAACCAGGCCCGGGACCTAACCAAACTTGTTGCATGTTGTTTTTAAATTAGACCTGTATCTATAATCTATATATACATATGTGTGTGTGTGTGTGTGTGTGTGTGTGTGTGTGTGTGTGTGTGTGTGTGTGTGGGTTTGTAACACTGTACTTGTACGTTTACGTTTTAGGATCACAGTAATCGGCCTGAAGCTGTTGTAATTTCCTGTCACATTTGTAATGTTATATATGTAATTATTGTTATTTGTCATGTATTCTTGTTGTGACAAAGCTTGTAAAATTAACAAAACAGTGAAAAATAAACAACGAAAAACCGCCACAAAAATCATAAAAGAAAGCAGTTTTTCCGTGAGATATCTACGTTAAACCAAGGTGTACTGTTTGGCAATTTTATATAATTGTTTCTTGGTGTAATGGACCATACTTCTTCTTGGAAAAGTCGTCCTGTGCAAAAATATATTCTGTTTTCGTAAAAACACCAAAGCGATAGCCTTTGAAGAGTTTACATTGTCAGAAAACATACACAGGGAAGATAGCGATTGAAAATCCAAGGCCGGTAAGCGTTGCTTTTCATTGTTGCTTTTCTCAAAAATGTTGTTCACTCCTATACAAACGCCATTTTTAACTACGTTTTGGATAGTTAACTATACCCAAAAGCATAGTTAACTTTAAATACTGTTTAATAAACGAGCACGAGTGTTTCATTAGGTTTATAGGCTTTAGACCTAATAAAACACGACCTGCGAGTTTATTAAACGGCTTCAAACACGACTACAAATTCAACATACTGCCTTATTATTATTCTTTATTATAAAATAAAGAATACTAATGAGGACACAACTACAATAGATACTGCCTTTTTAGCATTCTTTATATAAAGAATACTAATAAGGAGTGTTTTATCAGGATTAAACCCACTGCACGTGACATATTATGGTTGATATGATTTGCCAATAATCTTATAAATTATTAATGAGTGTTTTGAACTACTTTTTAACTGCAGTTAGCGCTAACTATACGTTTTTATACACTCTCCTCCGCAGAGGCTTTGTGTTTTGTTTTGGTTTTGTATCCCGCCTGCAAACATCGAACAAAACCAAAACAAAACAAAAAAGCCTCTGCGGAGAAGAGTGGTTTTTATACGTACAACCGGCCTCTGGTCGGTAGAGAAGCAGGTGTTAAGCGGATTAGGACACTACGTTAAACCACAGTAGAACCCAGCTAACTCGAAATTACTCTACTCGAACTCCCCGCTATAACTCGAACTAGATCCAATTTCTCCTTTATTTGACCCAATTTTTACAGTAATTTACTCCGGTCAACCCGAACTCGCTTACCTCGAAATCCTCGCTAACTCGAGGATTCATTTTCCCTTGCACAAATTTACCCGGTTAACTTGAATTGTATTTTTGAGACGAGGATCGGCAAACCACAAAATGTCAGATCATACGCATAGCACATTAATCGGTCTATAATGTGTACAAAGGTAATACAAGTTGCATCGATCATTACTTATCCAGCTAATTCGTTTTGTGAAGTCTTCACATATTTTGCCTACCCAGAAGACTTTCGCCTCATCCTTATGGGATTTATTCTAAGTTTCACTGTTTATATAAAGCACGACACCACCATATCGCGCACCGTATCACGCTTTAAACAATCAAATTAGTTCCATGCACGGTTCCAAAGTTATCTCGGCCGACAGAAACACTACATATGACTTACGACTTATAACAGATTAACTTGACGCAATACAAATAATCATTTCTGCAACCAAGCACAATATCACTACCCACTATTATAGGGGACGAAAATACTTCGCCTGGGAGAGAAAATGTTTTTAAAATTTTACCATTACTGGCAGCCAACAAATACATTGTTCCTTTTGTTGTTACAACGACAATACAAACACTGTTAGAGCCAAAAGTCTGTGAGGTAAAAGTTTCCTGTTTGATCAAATCATAGTTACAAACGACAAAGCATGGAGTTGCATAAACAGGTCCGTCAACCGAAGTTGACCATCCACATTTACCTTCCGATGAAACGAAGTAGACCTTATGGCCATGTGAAGCAAGGATAACATCACAAGCTATCGCAGCCCTTTGGGATGTGATACCCACTGGAGAACTAAATAATGGATCATCTGTACGTAATTCCCAAACTTCGTCTCCATAGTGATTTAAACATTTAAGACAACCGTTCACCGTTGCGACAAACACATTATTACCTTGTACGAAAGGCGTAGAAAATATAGGTTTTTCAAGTCGTTTAATCCACTTGACTTCACCAGAAACGGCATCTACACACAGAAAACATCCCGCAAGTGTCCCAATGTAGACACAATGAGGATCATAAGATATGGCCGGAGAACTAAAGCACGAACCTTCCTTGCATTTCACGCACATTTTGCATACCTTACGAGTAATATCTAAACCGTATAAACAACCATCATGGGAACCAATCCAAATTAATCCAGTTTTCAAATCAAGGCATGGTGACGATTTCACGACATCCTGTGTTTGGTATGTCCAAGCGATCTTCCCATTGCTCCTAGCCAAGACATATATCTTGCCATCGTAGCAGCCTTATAACGAAAATTAGAAAATTATTTAAGCTGTGGTGGACGAAAAATACTACTATATTTACCCATAATTCTAGCTAGATTATTCCTTTCGTGTTGAAGATGTGTGGAATGAAGTGGAATTGCATAAAAACGAATGGTCAAATATTACAATACGGCAAAGTGAAGCACAGCATATAATGTGCAGTAAAATGCAAAACTAAAAGGTTCAGTACAAGATCTAATATGTACGAAATAGATTGCACAAGTACTGTAGATGTGATGTAACATATAACATATAACTGCATAGTAACATATACGTAATAGAATGAAAAGCACATCGAGACAATTGAAACAAAAATGATTTAAATCACATAACAGTATGTAATAACAGGTAATTACCTTTAATAAAGGTAATTTTAGGATAGTCAAACGGTCATTGAATAAATTCCGTGTACGCATATTATTGTGGTCCAGTATAAAAATGTACAAATTAAAGCACTAATAGAGTCGTATTAATAACAAATGCATACATAAAAAATAAGAAAAAGAAGAATACACGACTTACCAACAACAATCAGCTTTCCACAACGGGATAAGCAAGCTGAAGATTCGATCCTCCCACCAAGACGAATTTGCCATAAAACTTCTCCATTTGAGAGTGAAACAGACATAAAGAGATATGAATGAGAGCCAATGAACACTTCACCTTCACCAGCAAGGCAGGACGGAACAACAAGGGGCGATGCATCTATACATTTCTCCATACAGACGCTCCATTTCAATGGCAATTCTGTTATGGGAGATATTGATGGAGCATCAAGGCGCAAAATAGAACATCCTGGAGTATTTTCACATGGCGAACATGCGAATCTTTCTGAACCACGTCTTACAAAGCAGGTACATATTTGGTCGTCTTCAACCGAAATTGTCCTTTGAAAGAAAGGTTTATCATTATCTATACTTGCCGAATTGTTATCGCTCCTCGACATCTTCGCAATAGGCTGTGAGTCAGTATTTGGAGAACGTTTTCTGTCCCCGTTAGCTCTTTCATCTGATTTAGTGGAATGGGAAATTCCTATTTGCAGAGTTCCCTCCACATAGCTGACAAGATAGCTGAAGGGTTTGTTAGTGATTATTTCAAACAGCATTGAAAGATCAAGCGGGTTGCCACAGCGCTTGCGCATCCACTTTTCTATCTGTTCAGCAAACTGCACAGCGCGCAGTGAATCGCCACCTTGCAACATAAACATATCACCTGGTTTCACATGTGGAATTTGATCGAGATCACTAAATGGTTTCATCAATGAATTTAATTTGCTTTGTCTCAAACTACTTTCTTTATCGATGGTAAGGACACTTAGGTTTTGCCCTACGCTTTCTTGCCACATTTGAGAAAGAGCTGCATCCACAGAAAGGTCATCTTTATAAGGTAAATAACGATCATGGACACTTTTTAAAACTTCACGTTTGTCGACTTTTCCATGGCTTGTTAAGGGAAATTTACAAACCAAGTGAACCTCATCTGGTTGGGATGGTCTTGGTAAAGCATCTTTAATTTGTTTGCACAATGCCGTCTTGTACCTTTCCAAATCGCCTGCGGTTCTTTCTTTTGACAACTTTGGGACGGCATATAAGTGTAGCAGCGTGCCGCCGGTCGAGACGGTCTCGAGCACCAATGTACATGAAGTTACATCCGTATATTCACAAACAGTTTTTTCAATGTAATCCAAATTGATTCTATGGCCAAATCTCTTTATCTGGTTATCAGAACGTCCTAAATAAAACATATGACTATCCTTAATCTGCACAATGTCACCACTATCTCTCATGATTGGTACGTTTTCCTCCGTTTCGCCTTCTAGTAAACACTGGCGATCCTTACCACCTATAACGAAAGAAGTTAAACGTTCATCAAGAATAAATCTATCTCAGGGTGCTAGTATAAACAACCTATTAAATATTAAGTTGTTCTCCACATGTAATACCTTGAGCAACTAGCTAGATTTGGTGAAGCAATGTTCTTAAAGTATCCTTAATACACCTTCCTTTTCATCTTTTTCAATCAATTTATATTAAGGACGGATTTAGCCTCATCTGCAAGGAGGGGTGCAAGTTCTCCACGGGGTGGTGCATAAGGGAGTCTTACTGCCCATTCTCCTCTGCAGCCTGCAACGCTAAACTATCCCAACATTACCATTATTTCAGATGGCATGTTCCCGTTCTGGTACGTTTTACATTATATTTTGTTTTATATATAGTTTATATCGGCTTTTTATCACGTATGCGTGACTGGACAGTTGCTGTAGCACAGTATAGTATAGTATAGTAAATTTGCTTCTTAAAGAACAATATATTTGAAAATATGGCTGTACATCGACATGTTTACATATTTAACCACGATACAGTATATACAGTGTCTGTGCTGTAACTAAAGCATTCTCAGTATTTTCTCGTGAGCTCAAAAATCAACTAAATCGTTTCAAGAAATTGACACGCGCTAACAGCAGAAGTTCTGCTAATCGCTATTTGAAAAGCAGAAATGTATGGTCAATCAGATATTTTAGGGTGGTGCTGGACTTCTCTAGGCGACTGCTAGACACCACTATGTGGGGTGCGCACCCCTCCCCCTGCATCCCCATACTAGATCCGCCCCTGATTTATATTAATATGTGAAGCCAGAGCCAGCGTTCTATTTCACGATTGATCGCCATACAAATCGATGTATGCAAAGTCGATCCGGCATGTAGAAATAACGAAAAGCTGTACAACCTGTACAGTGCCTGGGCAACTCGCCTCCAGCACTTTTTGCGACGATTGCAAATAGCTATTGAAACATGGGACAGTACAGTATATACATAAATATTAAAGCAAAACAAACCTATCCATAAGTGACCAATACCATTCTCACTAACAATATCTCCACTATCATCGTAGACAATAAGCTCGGTTTGCAATAGTGGGGCACCAAGTTTGCATGCGTTAAAACTTCCACTGCTGTTGTCATCAACGGTAAGGTTAAGTTCATCCTCAGTAATGCGGTGGCATGTCGCCCAGCTTGAGACCTCTGTAATGCCATAGATATTATACAGCCTGGTTTTGCATTTAGAATGTTTCCATTTTGTCAGTGTCGACAGAGGTGGACACGATTCTCCTCCAATCGCTAGAACCGAAAGACTAGAGTTTTCCGAGAGTAACTTCCTACTAACCAGATCTTCACCAATGTAGTACAACAGCGATGGCGTTGGCTACAATTTAAACGGGGAAATAACTTCGATATTACAAAGTGTTGAGCACGTTTACCCTCATCATGTATATGTTTAGTGTTTGTTGTGGTTATTACCAAGGCCGGATTTTGGTGGAAATAGTGGGGAACGTGGAAAAAATTTAGGCGAGGTGCAGCGGTCTAGCTCAGCCCCCATGGAATGTTATGGCTTATAACGTATACCTCCCTAAAGTCAACTACGTGACTTATGCATATATACCTGTACGTGTATTAATTTTATGAATTATGACTGTACGACTCATCCAGTTTTGCCCTTCATTACATTACCACAAATTTACTTTCGAAACATTCCATTAAAGGGTATACTTGACACGGAGATGAATGGCTATCACTATCAATTTTACAGAAAAACGTTCTTGCATAGCTAGTGTAGATCCCAAAACATAAAACTTTGTAAATTTTTCACTTTGATATATCATTTAATCTATTTCAAAGGGAGGTTCATGGCTTTCTAGAGGAGGTACAGAGCGATCTCAGGGGAGGTTCGCACTTCCCCCACACCTCCGCCTAAAATCTGGCCATGGTTATTACCTCCATAACACTTGATCAAGAGAACATCCATTCTATTCTTTTTATACTCTTCTTGCGATCGTTCTAAACACACTGTATGGTGGCAATGTCCTGTTCTTGCACGACTTAGATCCCCAAAATTCACCTCGCAAAACAAACTTACTTTGATTGTGCAGTGAGTTTGCCCGACATTCACAGATTTTTAGCAAAAATATGCTTTTGAGTTTTACAGTATTACCGAACAAATTGCCATGCGCAGCAGAAATGACATACCTGTAAAATTGTAACATGATGCTGATCGAACAGTTTCTGACACAACTCTTGTGGAATTAGTTTTGTACCTTGAGGAGTAATCAACAGTTCAGCGCCATTGTAAAAAGCGAGGAACATTTGTACTATGGAAGGATCAAATGTATATGGTGATGCAAGATAAACGACATCTTGGGAGGTTACTTCAAACATGGAACTATATAATTGCATAAAAGTTTGTTATTTGCAAACCCTATATAACACACTGTCAAACAACTTCTCAAACCAGAAAACATGGACAATTTCAGCAAGTGTATAAAAAGTATTTGAAACTATGAATTTTTTACTTTATATTTCAAAGTCAGTGCTCGAAAATGACCGGAAGCACAAGCAGCACCGCTGCCAGGAAAAGGTTTTAAAGAAAATAATCTTCGCCGGAAATTTTCTTGCACCTTACAGGAAATTTTTGTCATCTTATATACTGGAATGCCATATAATTTACTTCTTGTTTGAAAATTCCAAATTAAGCATTTTGCAAGTCGAGATGTGCGGTAACATAGTCCAACACGTTCTCTGAAACTTGCATATGCAGGACGTTTTATAGTTGATTTACACAGAAAATTTTAATTTTTGAATTTTGCTGCCACGAAGATAAATATATTTTTTAAGCCTATTCAAAGTCATCATCAGACAGAATGAAATACAAAACTTAACATACATGTACAGCAAATATAAAAAGTAGGAATCTAGCATGATACTGTCAGGTGCAGCCACTGTATCGTACAGTAAATCTATGAAGGATATTGATATCATATAGTATAAGAAAACTTTTCAGATTAACATAGGAATGCAACTACCCTTCATCGGTAAGTTACAACGAACTTCCGGACGAAGGGCCTTTATTAACTTCCAGACGAAGGGCCTTCACTCGAAACGTTCTCCATGTACAGTATTTTTCAGATAGTTGCATCCCTACTAATCCAAAATTTTCTTATTATTGCCACTACGTACAGTACACTGGCACAAACCGTTCAAGATTATATGTCATAGTATAATATAATCATGCAGTACGTGTTAACTACTTATACATTTAAAACAGTTAACATGTTATGTTTGCGATGTTACTCTGAGTGCATATCCACACCGGGCGAGCTTGAAAAATATGCCCGGCCACGGTGGGATTCGTACCTACGACCTTTGGAACACTAGCCCAGTTAACATGTTGCTTATCGGTTTTTTTCTGTGTTGGTGTTGTGTACTCAGGTGAATATGTTTGTGATGTTACTCTGAGTGTATATCCACACCGGGCGAGCTTGAAAAATATGCCCGGCCACAGTGGAAATCGAACCTACGACCTTTGGAATACTAGCCCAATGCTCTCCCAACTGAGCTACGCGGTTCCCATCGTGTCCGGGCATATTTTTCGAGCTCGCCCGGAGTGGATATACACTCAGAGTAACATCACAAACATCATATTCACCTGAGTACATAACACCAACACAGAAAAAATCATATTACTAGATTACTTTGGTATCGAAGGAACTAATAATAATAATAATAGCTTTAATTTGAGCAAATCGTAGTCAAAGTCTAAATTAAATTTACCCATTACAATGTTGCGTTAGAAAGGTAAAAGGGGAAACAACTACAAACATCAAAACTAAGAATACTGGATAGTATATACTGAATTATTTACACTAAATTCTAAAAAGTCATCATTTTAAAAATATGTAGTGCTATTCATTCCCTATGTTCTTCCTAATCGTATTGTTCCATTTCACAGCAGATTTGACAATAAAATTGTTTCGAGATCTATTAGTTTTATATGTTGGCAACTGGAATTGTATTCCAGAGGCCTGGGACCTGGTATTATAATGAGTTTGGTAAGTAGGTGGTAAAAGGTCATGTAGTTTATGGTTTTCCTTCATGATGTTGGAGAAAAACATGTCACATAGGTCTTCCAATCTCACACATAGCCGAGGGATGCCAGCAAGATCTAAGGCTTCTTGGTAGCTAGTATCAGGGAAAATTATTCGCATGATCCTGCGTTGGATGGATTCAATTTGTTCTCTAAGGTATTCAGTAGTACTGTAAAACCATGCAGGGCAAGCATACTCCAATACTGTTCTTACGCACGTTGAGTAGAAAGTGACCAAATCCGTATCTGCAACGCCCGCCCTTTTCAGAAGTCTCACAGAGTAAATACGCTTCGCAGCTTTCTTTGTTATCATATTGACATGCTCATTCCACTTAAGATTTGATGACAGATTAACCCCAAGTAATTTATAGGTAGATACCCTTTCAATTGGGACGTTGTTGATGGTAATATTATCAATCACTGGAGGTACTCTTTTGAAACAGACAAACATTTCTTTGCATTTTACTGGGTTAAGCATCATTTTCTTTTCGTGTACAAATTCACAAATATCATTCGAGCTTTGTTGGAGATTACTAGAGCACAAGTTATTCACAATATGAAGGGTCTCACTAATAGTCAGGTCGTCCATATACTTCCATCTCCACGATTCTCTGTAAGCCAGAGCGTTTACCATTAATAGAAAAAGAGTAGGTCCTAAAACACTACCCTGCGGAATTCCAGCTGGTACCGGTTTCCATTCAGATGAAAAACCGTTGACACACACTCTTTGGTGCCTTCCTGTCAAGAAACTACGAATACTCTGAATTAGAACAGGATGGACATCCAATTCTCTCAGGATATCCAATAAGATGTTATGATCCACTCTATCAAAGCCTTTACTCAAGTCATAAAAACAGAGTCTAATTGCATCGTTTGGGTTGTCGGTATTGGAATATAGAAAGTTCATGAGATCCACCAATGCACAGGTTGTGGACGAACCTTTAACAGATCCGAAATGGCGATCATCCAATTTGGGGCCAACATGATCAAGTAGTAGTGAGTTAAGATGACTCTCGTAGACTTTCGCTACTGGTGAGGTAAGTGATATGGGTCTTAAATCATTCTCTATATCAACAACTTTGGTTTTCTTGGGGGCTGGGCAGACATCAGCACTCTTCCATTCAGATGGAAAAAGACCTTCCATTAAACAAGAATTAAAGATATTAGTTAAAGGTGGGGCTAAAATTGTGCTCAAGTTCTTTAACACAATGGTAGGGATAGGTTCAGGACCACAGGACTTCTTGGCATTAAGGTTGAACAGTTTTCGGGACACTTGACAAGTTGATAGCAAGAAATTATCAGGGACTATAAGATCTGGAGGGGTAGGTACTGGTTCCAGGGGCTGATATTCGTCAACAATCCGCAGAAACACACTATTAATTAGTTCTGTTAATTCAACCCCGGTTGCTTCATGACCACCAAATCTTAACTTATCAGGAATCTTGTTTGGTTTCTGCCTAGTTATTGCTTTAACACCCTTCCACCATTTTCTGGGGTTGCAGGACCTTGTGTTATCTAGATTATACCTATAATGATTGCCCATGGCGAGCTTAATCTCTTTAGACACTTTGTTTCGGAAAAAGTTACGAAGTGGGACATTGCCTTTCTTCCAAGCACGTTGACGTTTAACAATGAGGTTCTTGATGTAACTGGTCATCCATGGTTTGTCGTTGGTGTTTAAACGGCAAGGTTTGGTGGGCATAAACTTGTCAAGAGCAGTGATAACTTTATTATAAAACACTGACATCTTATTTACAACAGAGTCAGCTCTGTAAACTTCACACCAGTTCTGTTTCTCCAAGCATAATGATAGCTTATGGAGATTTTCCCGATTTAGCTTCCGCCTATAGATAATCTTGTTCAGTCCCTTAGGAGCAATATAATCCTGGGGGGAAAATAAGATTGAACAATGGTCTGATCTCCCCAACGGAGGGAGTTGCTGAGGTGCCGTGTAAAATTCTGAAATATTTGTTAAAATAAGGTCAAGTGTAACGTCATTACGCGTTGGAAAGTTGACAACTTGTTTTAAATGAAGCTTTCTTTCAATAGATTTTACATTCATACGATTAAAATCGCCCATAATAATAACACCGGCGTCCGGGTAACGGATCAAATAATTGTCTGTGACTTCTATTATATGCTGTTCAAGTAAATTTGCATCTTAACTAGATTCTGTTCCGAAATATCACTTACTCGAACCGACCTGACCGCGTAGCTCAGTTGGCAGAGCATTGGGCTAGTATCAGAGCATTGGGCTAGGTTCGATTCCCACCGTGGCCGGGCATATTTTTCAAGGTCGCCCGGTGCGGATATACACTCAGAGTAACATCACAAACATAATGTTTCTTATCTTTATGCTTGATGAAATGGAAAGGAAGTTGTTCAACTAATAATCTGTTCCAAAAGTATGCTGAATGTAACCAGTTAGGTCATCCTCCCATACAGTAATTAGTTTCAATACATGCATGGTCGGCAGTGGCAAAGCCAGCCTGACAATTTGGTCATGCTATGCAAATTTTAAATCATTGTCATTATTCACTTCTTTAGAAATTGATTGTTTTCACGGTCTACGAACACGGAAATATTTGCATATGTAGCATGACCAAATTGTCGGGCTGGCTTTGCCACTGGTGGTCGGTCATGGACATTTCTGACCTGACGTAGAGAGGAAACCACCGGACATTCTGTCCAAAACTGAGGTTTATTGTTTGTCCAACCCGAGTGTAGTGTGCCCAATCTAACTGTAGCATTGTTCGACATAAATCAAAATGTACCCCTATCTAGGATTATTCAGAGGCTCGCATCTTAAATGGAGAATCAGAGTAATGTATAAAGTGAACTGGAAATGTTGTTTTAAATTAATGCAATCGAACGCTGGGTGGCAAGCAAAATGATGAAGTCGAACACAGGCTTAAGTTGTCGAAGTCTTACTGCTGTTATTGCCTTATTGGCAAGCAAGTTAATTTTGGCTTGGAATTATTTAATATCTTCACAACATTTAGGTCAGACTTGATACATTGTGTAATTGATATTAATTTGTGCCATTTAGACTTATTTCCGAGCCAAACTAAACTGAAGGCATCTCGGACATCATACACATGTCCGACCCAAACTCAAAGTCATTGAACATTTTGTCATACAGGCCTGTAAAAGATAATTTAAGGCCTGATTACAGATTATGATTACATATATTTAAAAAAAAAAACAGGAAATAGTGGCCAATTTCAAAGTCAACTGGAATTCATATCAAAACGCAATCAAATTGCCCACCTCAGATGAAATATATTTGAAACGATGCATGAGTGAGGCACAAACACTGCTTTTGGGTCACCTGTCGTACCAGATGTCTGCATGGCGTAGGCAAGATCTTTAGACCAATTTACGACACATGGTTGATTTCTGGTAGTGACTTTAAGCACGGTAAATCGAACTTCATGTAACGAGTTTCGGTCAGTAATCTCCAATGGCATTCTTATAAACGTGTTATCATGATCATTCTCGTTGAGGTTCATGATGTTTTGAAGTAAACCGTTATCGACCAAAACATATCGTATTGAACGGTGGTTTATACTTTCCAACACTTTACGCGGTTGTAGTGTGGTCGATATTGGGTAAAATGCGGCAGATGCGTCCATCACAGCTAGTAGAAGAGCAGGCAGGTTCAAACAATCACTGGAGTATATCCCGATCACTTCATTTTTGGAGAATATTTTACTAAAACACGTACTCAAATTCTCCACTTTCTTGCTAAGGTCACGATACGTTATTGATTCCACAGCATCTCCAGAAAACGTTACCGCTATATTGTTGGGAAAGTTCTTCGCTGAGCGAAAAAACAATCCGTGGAGCACATTTATTCCACTCCTTTCGGCCGCCATATTGGTTATTGAAATAATCAATCAAGAGTGTTTCCATAACACACCATTCAAATTTCTTTGATTCCTTATAATATTTCCTTGAAATGGGAAGAAATGAGATATAATTTTCCTTCAAATTTCCCAAATTTCCTTGATTATTAATTTAAACTGAACACATTTCCCTGTATTGGCCTGTATTTTTGCCTATGGTCGTTTTATCGTGGGCCTTCATTTCAGGCAAATCAGGGCAGTATGTTGCGACAACTATAGTTCATCATTAATTAGAGGAACACAGCGTCACAGAATAAAGCGTAGTACAGTTTTTTCAAAGTTTAGAAAGCTCTAAAATACTAAATAAAATTGGTCTCAACAGTATTTTGCTGCCTCACTAACACTAATCCTATTCCAAACACCAACTCTGTCAACTCTAACCATAATCCTAATCCTACTCCAAGTTGGTTTCTAAACCAATCTTGAAGAAAAAGGTTTTGCCGAAATGTCATTCTGTGGTTCTGAAGTCAGCGAACTAACCTATCCCCTCCTGATCAACTTGTTTTGTACTTTTGCACATGGATATAGTGCTTATGAGCAATCTTTTATGATATTCCTTTCCATTGCTGAGAGAATCTTAAAAACATTTGATTTCTTCATAATTATTTACTTACATTTTTTCAAAAATTCCATACCTTGGGGTCAAAATGTCCTTGAAAAATGGAATTTCCTTGAGTGTGGAAAGTCGTCTAGAAATATCTTACACGAAGTATTACAGAGTTCAAGCATTATTTTGATCTCCTCTCAAAAATGAACACGTTTCTTTCAAGAGCGAACAATATTTTTGCCTTTACTTTAACAGTTTTGGCAACGTTAACGTTCTTATGTTTCCTGTCAACATTTTTTAAGGATTACAATCTTCCTGTTGAGCTGAAAGCCGTCAAACACGTGGTGTAAGTAGAACAATTTTGTATGTGACTATTTGGCATGCACCCTGCCAACCCTGGGGATTCGCCAGTCTCTTTGTCAGTATTTATACCTAACCTCTCGTTCTTTATACTGTTTATTTCTGAGAAAAAATAATAATGTTGTGCAGCTGATATTTATGAAAAGTGTACTTTGGTGGCGGCTTTGAAATTCCCTCATTTATAGCAGCATTTAGAAGCGCTTTTAATACTTTTTAAACATGCACTTATTCCAAAGGTCTGAGGGGTCAGGGTGCATATTTGGGTGTAGTCTAATCAGAAGATCTTTGGCGTAGAGTTACAGTAAGCCTTGGCGTACTGGCGCACACTTTCCTGGCATAGTGGCATACGCTGTTTTTAACTTGGCGGTGCATAATCATCAATAAAGACATCAAACGGCATAACAGTGGAATTTTTGCATAACTAATGCACCTATCATTGTTTTCCCCCTGAGGGGGGCGGGGGGGGGGGGGGCGGGCGACCCAGGGGACTTTGACCAGGGAGGGGAATTTGACCTATGCATCAACTCCCAGTCGGGAAATTTTGACATCTGCCATCTTGAAAATTTGCGCGGTTTTGACATTAGAGGCCTGGTAACAAGTATGGCGGAGAAGCACGATCAAGTTTCATCGATAAACGTATTTTATACACAGTGTCTCAATTTTTACCAAGTTTAAACCAGTATAGACTGTATGTTCGCATTGGAAAACATATGTGTGCCTTGTTATCTTAGGAAATATAGTGGGGAATTTTGACAGCCGTTCCTTGCCCAACAGTGGGGATTTTGACGACAAAATTTTAAAAATGTCAAAATTCCCCTGGGTTGCCCGCACCCCCCCCCCCCCTCAGGGGGAAAACATTGATAGGTGCATAACTCATACCAGGGCCTTTTTTAAGGATTTTCCTGTTGGGGGAAAAGGGACCTTTCTGTGATATAATATATTACAGGGAGATAGCAATAGCTGAAGGCCATGTGTGTGACCAACATACCATGTACACATGAATGGGGGGGGGGGGTCTGGGGTTGCACTCCCCCAGAAAATTTTTGAAATTTGAAGCATGGAAATGCCACTTATAAAATAACATGTACATAACGCGTATTCTGATTGGTCGAAAGCCGTGTTTGGATCAGGCCATCCAAACACGGAAGACTATCGTGTTGTTGTTATTTTATAAAACAATTACTTTATGGTTTCCGTGTTTGGATGGAATGATCCAAACACTTGGGAATGTTGCTCGAGTTAAGAAAAGCGGGCAAAATCACTCGCCTTCGGCTCGTGATTTCGCTCGCTTTTGTTAACCCTCGCAACATTTCCGCGTGTTTGGATCAGGCCATCCAAACACGGAAACCATAAAGTAATTGTATATTCCTGCATTCCGAGCAACCAATTAAATTTGCTCCAAAATGTATGTTAACTACTATATACTTGTATTTGAAATAAAAGAAGGAAAAAATGCACAAAAAGTAAAGAAGAATATTAATCTTAATTTATCATTATACTTATTAGAGGGGGATACCAATGGCCGAAGGCCATGTGTGTGGGAGTGTACTCCCCCAGAAAATTTTTCAAATTTGAAACCTGGAAATGCTCTTTCCTACATTCTGAGCATCCAAAAAATAAAACATTAACAATAAATATTTATCCTTACTTAGTGATAGAAAAACGTAACAATTTAAAGTGCCTACATGTATATCACTTGTGGGATATTTACGGATTTGGAAAGAGCACGAAAAGTTAGTTTGTAAGTTCTTCAACCTTTTTTTAATTTGGTTCAGTATTTTCCGAGATATTGACCTTCAAACATGACAATTTTCAAAAAAATCCGTCGTGCTTGGGGGCCTGGGACTCAGGAACGCGAGCGTAAACAAACACTGTAGAATTGTATTATATTTTGACGCTGTAACTTACTAAAGTGAGAATTTTTGCAAGAAACGTTGGTTTATTAAGCTCAAAATCGTTCTCTGGTACTGAAAAAAGTTCCTACGATTGCGCTGGATATAAAATTGAAGGTGAAACGTACAAAACAACTTCAAAATCAAATTTGAAAGTGCTCCTTCGTAGATGGCATCTAGCTTCGTCGAGCATGAAAATGTGTACACTGACGAAATATGGGCCAAAGAATACGTTTGAAAGTTGGAAGAATATAACAAGGAAATTCATTTTCACATGAAACGGACCTTACATGTACAGTATATCGTGATAGTTCTTCGTATTAAAGTGAATAATATATTTTCTATATGTAAATGTTTTGCCATTTTCTATGTGTAAATGTATTTGCCTTTTGCAATTTAATACCATATTTTGGGTTGTCTTTGAGTAATTATGTTTTGCAGCTTGAATTATTGGGATATAAAAATTAAGTAAAGGAGGAGCTTTTTCGATTCTATTTTGTACTGTTGAAAATCACAATACATTTCATGATTCAATGATTGTATTAGCTTTATTGCTGCAATAGACCAATATATAAATACTTGGCTTGAATTTATGGCTTTGCTGTTATTAAATGGTAAAGCTCCCGACATTCCAACCCTTGCCAAACAACCTGAACTTGTGAGGGTTGGAGCCATGATGACATCTGCAAGGATCCAGGCCAGTTTATGGTTTGCAGGGCTGACCCTGTTTGAAAGGTCTTGTACAGATGAAAATTATTGAGTGGAAATTTATATACATTTATTAAATATCCTTTATACAAGACCCTTCAACTATTATTGAATTGAGTGAGAAGCCAGGTTTCCGGGAGCACAACCTGGAGACAAAAATTTCCTTTATTAGTATTAGAGTATTTTTGTGCTAAATCTGCATGTGCATAAACATATAGTGTTCTAGCTGACCATGGTTTTAAATTCAAGGAATGTCTGTCAACCATATGTTGTTGCACCCATAGTGGGACATGGGTGTTAAGGTTTCCTTCAAATGTTAATCAATAGCAAATCTTCATTCAAACAAATTTCCTGCAGCTGTTTAACATTTACTGCGCATGAGCAGTGCTCACCCATTTTTCCCACCCCTGTATATATTGGTTACAGCAAGCGCTGCACCGGAATTGCAGGGCAGGTTGGATTTCTGCCAGCGATCAGCAGTTGCATTTCGATTTTTCACAACTTTTCCTGGTTAGGTATAATAAATGCATATAAACTTCTACACGATAATTTCCATCTATACAAGACCCTTCAACTATTATTCAATTCTGTATAACCTGCCTTCCTAAGCTGTTCTTGTTGATCAAGTTTTTAAATAAACATTTTCCTGTACACAGTAGCATGAATTCAGTTCTTTTTTTCATGACTTTGACTCCTTTGTCTGTTGATTTTTAAAAAAAATAATAAACTAAGATATTATTTGTGCACTATGTGTGCTGTAACTTTATTAAATGCAAGTTAATGACAAAAAAATCAAGCATGCATTAATTAAAGTTGGACTATTAAAGCCAAATAGAATTTTTGGTTTGTGTGATATTTGGGTCAAAATTCTAATAAGAAATGTAACGTATCTTTATAGTAAAAATTCACCTAATGACATATCTGGAAACTTTGACAGTGAAAAGGTCGATGAAGAAGGGATTTTT